CGCTCCATCTTCAGGCCCCGGACTGCTCAGCCAAGCCGCTTTCTGACTCAGGCCAGAGGAGAAAGAGAAGATGAGCCAGGCAGGTGCGGTAGTGTTGTAGGCAGCTGGCCAAGATAGAAACATTACAGACCATCAGGCAGGGCCAGGCGCTCAAGGGGACAGCAGGGAAGAAAAGACACCTTGCAACTGTGGAGGGACGAGATGGGTGCTCCCGCTGTGGGCCGACCTGAGGACCAAAGATGGAACACATGCGCACATGCGCACCTCCCTAAAGACAAGCGTCTGGGATTATCACCTTGAGGGAGCCGGGAAGAATCACTAATCCAACAGCTACTGGCTGGCTACTGGATAAACTCCTGTTCTATATTCCGGGCCGCTTGCTACGTGACTCGCTTCCCCATCTGCTCCTGAATTTAATCAATTTTACGTGCATGATGGTGCCTGTAACCTCATTGGTTGACCATAGATTTTTTTTTTTTGTATTTTAGGGAAGGGTCTCAGGGTGTTCAGGGTCTCACTACTAGATCATCGGACTCGTAGTGATCCACCTGTTTACAGCCTCCCAAGAGCTGGGATTACAGGCGCGCGCCACCACGCCCAGTCTCAATTGCCGTCTCAGTGCGCCCCGGGGGCAGGGCTTGACCACACTTTGTTCCACCTCATGCCCACCTAAGAGAGTTCCCATGTTCTCCACCGTAGACCCACATGCAACCTGCATGTGGTCCCCTTTTTGTCCCTTTCTCTCTAACAGAGGCTTTCTTTCCCCAATAAATATTCTGCTCTTAACCTCTGTTTGTTCCTAAAATTCATTCTGAGGTTTTTAAAGAACACAAGGGGCCCTGCCCCTTAGCTCAGTTCTTTAAGTGGCTGCTTCAATAAAGCAGTCAGGCTCAGGTTGCTGTGGTTCGATCCCCACAACTCAAGCCAGCCAAACCTGCCCTGAAGGCATTTGGAGAAAAAAAAAAATCCTTAGGGACTCGGGAGATGGCTCAGTGGAATAAGCACTTCCCTGGCAAGTGGAAGGGTCTGAGTTCAATCCCCAGTTCTGCCAAAAATAAAAATAAAAAAATAAAGACCATGAACTCGGCCCAGGTACCTTTCAGGTTGGGAGTTTCATTCTCCATATCAGGAGTGCTCCACCCCAGCACATGTGAGGCTGAGGCAGGAGGATCACCATGAGTTCAAAGCCAGCTTCAAGTACATAGCAAGATCTTGGCCCAAAAAACCAAAAGCTTATGAAAAATAAAAAAAGAAAAGAAATGCTTTCAACACAGAAAGAAACAGGGGTAAACGCAAGGCCACCAGGAAGTCATCCGCCCGCCCGCCCTTGCCCACGAGGACATTTGGAAATGGTTGTCCTTGCATCAGAGGGTCCGCTTTTGACTCGTCCTCCCCGGCACTGCGCGATGGTTCAGCCTCTCGGAGTCTCCATTTCCTGGTCCTTAAGAGGGGACAATGGTGCAGCCACCGGTTATTGTGAGGACTGAGTGAGGAAGCACTAACCGGGCCAGGACAGAGCAGGGCACACTGAACTACTCAACAACAGCCACAAAGCGGGGCCGGGTGTGGTGGCGCACGCCAGGAATCAAGGGACTCAGCATGCTGAGGCAGGAGGATCATGTCGAGCTCAAGGCCAGCCTGGGCTATACAGCAAGATACTCTTTCAAAAAAAAAATTGATTAGAGCTCTTGCCTTGTATGCACAAGGCCCTTGATCCATCCCCAGCACCACAAAAAGAAACAAGCAAATAAATAAGTCAATAAACTCAGTCACTGCCAGTTGCAATGAAATGTAAAAACTGCCTAGTCTTAGAAGACACTAAGGGG